AATAGTTATTAAAATAAAATATTAAATAAAAGAATAAAATAAATAAATAAATACTATATATAATACATACAGGCAATAAATACACCAACAATGTCTAGTTCATTTGACACATTTAGAGAAAATGCTCCATTTCTGTCCTATCTTGGTGAGTCTAAACTTTTGTACCTAATTTACTTTCTATCATAACTTGCTTTTTGCATCTGGTAAATAAAAAAACTGTAACTATCCAGTCTTCAACTCCCTCAGAGACCCAAGAAGGAAAAAACAACAAAAGCCAACAGCAGCTCTATTTGAAACTGCCAAGAACTAGAAACATTCAACAGAGGTGGATTAGATTACGGTGATTCCTTGTCATGGAATATTACTCAGCAATGAAAAGGGACAAGCTGAATACAGACAACTCAGGTGGACATCGAGGACATTCTATTTCATGGAACAAGTGAGTCTCAAAAGGTCATATACTGTTCAATTACATTTATTTATACAACTTGATAGAGCACTGACTACAAACAGCTTTTGGGAGTCCTTAAATTTCTGTGGATTTTACTGATTTAACTTCAGTAAATTTCCTCTGGTTGCCTTCTGAAAATGTTGATACCTTTAAACCCAAAGCCATTGCCTTTGCTATGACACACAAGATGTAAATCTACTCCAGCTGTTTTACAGGTACCTGCATGTTCCTGGAAAAGAGTGTTAAGTCTAACCCACAGGGGTCCCTCCTGATAAGCCAGCCCCATGTGCCATCTTCGAGGACACCAACCAGGTGAAAGGCAGGTTGATTTTACCCACATGCCCACTCATAAGAACTCCGTTATCCCCTAACTCTTGTGGATGCTTTCACAGGGGAGATAGAGGCATTTCCCATCTCCAGAGAAACAGCAGACGTGGTGGCTCAGGTATTCCTGAGGAACACATCATCCCTCAATTTGACATGCCTTCCCGCAAGCTCCTGGGACATCAGAGCTGGTACCTCCTCTCCACGCTGAGGAGGGCACCTACCTAGCAACTGGGACCTGGTTTTCCAAGTTGTCCCAATGAAGGGCATCTCTGCCTTCATGTTTTGTTCATTCACCCCAGTCTCTTTTGTACAACCAAAGAAAATCTCTCTCATTCTTTCTGACAGTCATCTCTCTTCCCATGGCTAGCCCTGTTCATAGGCCTGTGTTAATAATCTATTTTTTTTTCTCCTAGAAACTTGCCTCCTCTGCTCCTTCAAGGAACAGATGCCTGAGGTCTCCAGGATGGCAGCTAACTGAATGCTTCTTCATCCATAATTCCCGCTGAGAATAAATTCATGGACTCTTGACTCCTGACTCCCCCTCCCCACGTTGTCCTATGCACACACAGAGGAAGTAGCCAGACTTGAACCAGTGCCCATATACCCACCTTGGCCCCATGTCTTTCTCTTTCTACATCCCATCCCTGAGAAAGCCCACCAAGAAGCGGCTCCTCCCTGGAAGGTATTTAAGGTCCCCTCCTGGGAGCAGCCCTGAGGGTCCCCTCTTCCCCTGGGACCACCCGTGAATGCTTTGCTCAGATTAAAACTTGGACTTTAATTTAGTTTGATTGGCTTAGTGCATCATGGAGTTACCCACTACTGGGGGATATTTTTACTTATAATAACTTTCTTATATTATAACTAAAATATTATCTTGTGGATGTGTTTATTTCTAACAGACTACTTGGAATAGTGAGGAGGAACATGGGATGGGTGGGGAACCCTAGAGAGTAGCAAAAGGGGGCTTTTTGGTGTGATGAGACAGCTCTAAACCTCGGTTGTTCTCAGACAATCTATGCGGGTAAACTGGAGATCTGTCTTGTCAACCTCAGTTTCCCAGCTTTAAAACAATTCTAGTTAAGAAAGACTGGGTCACTGGGGAGCTGCAGGGACTGCGGGTTTCTATAGAACCATCATTATCACAGAATTAAAGGTTTAAAGTGTGAATTTTAGTGCTGAAGATTGGGAAACAGACCATCTTAGGCAAAGGTCTTTAGAGTAGGCTCATGGAAGACTAAGCTACCCTAACCTGTCATCTTCAAGAGCCACAAAGAGCCAGAAGTTGTACCTCCTCGACAGCCAGGGTGGCTCATTGCCAGCAGGGAAGACCCCAGCTTGTCCAATTTGATCTGACAATGAATCTGCCCACTGGCTCCATGTAGTGCACCAAAGGCAATGACTGGTGGTTGGGGGAGCCATTGTGTGATGTCGCCCCAAGCTACCCCACTACAGAATCACTGCACCCTAGTTCTTGGGTAGTGTAGTCCGTGCTCTGCAACGGTATCCTGGCCTCCCTGCTTTCCAATCCATTCTAGAGACTTTGTCTCAGACCAGAATACTAAGCAAGGGTCAGGAGTACTTGGAGCCATGGTGCTGCAATGCACAGCGGAGGAGAAAGACATCAGACCACCCAAGTCAAAGAAGGGCCTGAGCCAGACTGGTTCGGCGCACATACACGTCTTCCCACCCAGCTTCTGTTCATGGGATCAAAACTTGATCCTCTCCCGCACCTCGTCCCTTCCCTCCCCATCTTCCACCCAGGTACACGTTATTCTGGAGTCCTTGATCATAGCCGGTGCAAGTAGCATGTACAGAATGATGCACTCAACACACACACACACACACACACACACACTACCATGCACGCACACACATTCACACTACCACACATTCACACACACAGATGCTGCACTTGCTCTATCTGTGAACATGTACATCATACAGGTTTCACACATTTCTGTATTTTCCAAGTTATCAACAATGAATGAGAATGACTTAATTAAATGAAGAATAATTAAATTAAAATTAGAGCTACCAACTATGTTCATAGCAGCTTTGTTTGTCATAGCCAGAACCTGGAAACAACCTAAATGCCCCTTGATCGAAGAATGGATAAGGAAAATGTGGTACATTTACACAATGGAGTACTACATAGCAGAAAAAAATAACGACAGCTTGAATTTTGCAGAAAAATGGATGGAACTAGAAAACATTATTTTGAGTAAGGTAACCCAGACACAGAAAGACAATTATCACATGTACTCACTCATAGGTGGTTTTTAAACATAAAGCATAGAAAGCCAGCCTACCAACCACAATCCCAGAGAACTTAGACAACAATGTGGACACTAAGAGAGACTTACATAGATATAATCTACACGTGAAATAGAAAGTAGAAAAAGACAAAATCTTCTGAGTAAATTGGGAGCATGGGGACCTTGGGGGAAGATAGAAGGGGAAAGGGGAGAGGCAGGGAGGGGAGCAGAGAAAAATGTAGAGCTCAATAAATATCAATTTAAAAATGTACAAAAGTAAAATTAGAGCTACAGTGAGGAAACATGGGACAAGGCGGCTTGGAAGGGTCCTGTCCACAACGGACCAGTGTCTTCTCTGTACCACCAAGATGAAGGTGGAGGAGCTGCGCTAGACTGAAGGACAAGGACAAGCCAGCACCATCAGAAGGTTTAACCTGGCTCCTGGGCCAGAGAACGGACATCAGTGGGGAAATGAGCAAATATGACGTTAGCAGAGTGCTAATGCTAACTTCCTGGCTTGGGGAGACCTGTGGGATTCTGAGTGAGACAGACTTCCTGTACTGTAACTGTGTCTTTAGGAGAAATTTGAAATTATTTTGAAATAAGTCAAGAAAATCAAGCCAGTGACAATGCTCTCTTTCCCCTCAGAAGTCCCATGATGGTACTCTCCCAGGACTCCAGCTGCAGGAGGAGGACAGGTGAGGACATCTGTCAGCCCCTCTAGTGCCAGCTCTCTACCTGGCTGCCTTCCTGCCTTAGCCCTCCAGCCTTCTGCCAGTGGCAACTCCCAGTGACAGGCTCGGGCCCCTCCCTGACCTGGGACAGACCACCTCTTCTTGGGGCTGCCGCATTCTGACTGCACAGGACATAGTCCCAAGCCTCTCTCCAGCCACACAAGCCCCTGGGAGGTAGCCGCCCTTCCGACATTGACGTGCGTGACTAAAAGCATATGCTCAATAAAAAGTGGCAGAGACAGCCTCCATCCTGTCATCCATGTGGCTGTTCCAAAGTAAGGGCCACACCCAGGGCCTGGCACACAGAACTCAGGATGTGACCAGCCTGGCAGGATGCCCACGTTTGTGGGGGATTGGAAGAAACCTACCTCTTAGGTGGAGTCTCTGCCAAAGCTGCCCACCTATGGGACCCTGGCCTCCCCTTTCTTGATTGACAAGAATGGCAGTTGTTTAACCAATTTGCCTAAAGTTCACTCAGTCGGTCCCAATCTTCTGCTCGGACCAGAAGGATGGAACAGGTTGGCCACGGGCGCCCATTTTATGTAAACCGTCTTACTCTGAGTTTTCCTCCAGGCCCAGAGGCAGCACTGTCAACTTCAGAGCTAGGAAGAAAAATTCACCCACAGGAAGCTTCGGGGAAGAGGGATGACAGCAGGAGCAGAGGGAACCTGTTTTCGACAGAATGCATCGCTGAGCCCAGGCAGGGAATAATGCCCAGTTCTGCCCTGCGTGCGTGCGTGTGTCCCAGAGTTGGTGACCTGGGCGTTTCAGGAGATTGTTTTATGGGCGATGCTGTCAAGAACTCCTCCTATTGCTTAGCACACGTAAATCAAAGTTCAAGGTCAGCTGATGGGATTTGAGAAAATCCTGGGAGAACTTCTTTCAGAAGGCCCTTTAGAAAGTCCACTGGTTCTTTGAACTTTAGGGAAGTACAAACAGCTAAGGGGAAAGAAACCAGTTAATAGAATATTCCGAAGGGGCTGGATAGTCTGGAAGGTGGTTGCACCCACCAAAGTAGCCTGGGGGTGGTTCGTCATCCATTGGGAAGGAGAAAAATTCTCTCAAGACCAACGCAGCCTGGGGGTCAGGAGGACAGTAAGGAAAGTGGGCCCCGGTAGCTAGCTGCCTTTCCCCCATCCCGGGAGGCGGTGGTGGCGGTCAGACAGTCGCTTTCGCGCAGGAATGATTCCCAGCCCGCTCCGCCCCTCCCTCCCCGCTGGTGGCGGCACTCACCAGCTCCGGTAGGAAGAAGGCAAAGGGGATGGTGAGGAGCACGGCAACGACCCCCGAGGGCACGGCGGGCGGAGCGTAGGTGGTGGCCTGTGAGTCCGGGGAAGCCATGCTGACACCAGTGCCGGCACCCTTACCCTTGCTCTGAAGCACTCGCCCGCGCCCGCAGCTGTTCGAGTATCACCTCCCGCCCGTCAGACACACCCATCGGACGAGGGACGTCGCCTGGGAGGGGAAAAGAAAGGTTCCAGAAGAGCAGGTCTTTCTGTGCTCTGTGGCCAGCCTGCCGGGAGAGGGAACAGGACCAGCCTTGCCGAGGCACTTTTCTAGACTTTCCCTCCTAAAGAACTTTTGAATCCTGGAGATGAGTGACAGCCATGCCCCTGCTGTTCTCTACGCTCAGAGTGCAAGCAGGGTTTCCTGTTTTGCTAAGACAAAGACAATTTATTGAGGATCCACTCTGTGTAGCCACCCACAGACACCTCTGGAGCACAGATAGTCCACCGCGTGGCTATGTTATACTTTTCCAAGAAAGGAGGCCGGGCAGGAAAGAGGTGCAGACAAGTTCACAGTGGTCACTCAGATTGCCTTTCTCCCCCTCCTCAGGGACTTGGTGTTGCCCCCATCTGAATCCCTCCCTCTTTGGGGTCCTACTCTTGCTGTCTTCCTAGTGGAGCGAGGATCCAGGGTTGTGGCCAGAGGATCCCTTCCCTATAGAGCCGGGCACTGACTGCCTTGCTTTGCCTCTACTCTCTCAAAGCTCTTCCTTTCCCAAGTAAGCCAGGTCTGGAGACTGGGCCACTTTCTTCTTTACAGCCCAACCCACTAACCTTCATTTTTCCACCACCCTGAGGAAAGGTTTGGTGCCCCAGAGTCTTCTTCCTTCCTTCCTTGGCTCCAGCAGGCCAGCTGGAAAGCTTCCCCGGGGCAGAGGAGAGGATGCCCAGGAGAGTTGTCCTGAGGACTGGGGTGATGGGATATCCTTCACAAGAAGCCTGTGTCTTGTTTCTTAGCAACAACAGCAGATTCCAGGGCCTGTCCTGGGCAAGATGGGAGGAGTAGCCAGTCAGTTCTGCCTGGCCTGGGCACAGCCAGGGGGGTTTGGGTAAAGGAAGCACAAAGCCACGGCCTTGCAAGGACAACCAACAGGCTCCCCAGTGAACCTCAAACCTGCCTGTCCCCAATCCTTTCCATGCCCTAGAGCTTACAGTCCGCACGCTCAGGTCCCTACATTGCTGACAGGATGGATCCACCATTTTCTCCTGGCATCTCACCTCTCACCACCTTTTCTCAATGTTACAAACAAGCACCATACCAACTCTTTGGGGCTATGGGTCCCCTTTGATCTGACCATAATCTACATGGGGCAGTAGGAAGCCATTAGGGTCGAGTAAGAAGTTACTTACACCCAGGTTCCAGGGATAGAACTTGGGTCATCAGGCTTGAGGGACAAGTGCCTTTCCCTGTTGAGCTGTCTCCCTGACCTTGAACCTATTAGTTCTGGCTAGACAGTGAAGTTAAGTATACACATTGTACTTCCTAGAGCAGCTTCTACGTAAATACTGATACAGACATGGAGCATTGCGGGTGCTTTTGTTGGATGCCAGTCTCACTCCAGATTCACTGAGAGATCCTCCTGTCTCAAGGAATATGGCAGAGCATGGCAGAGCCAGCATAAGCACACACCTATATGTACACATATGCATATTGTGTGTGTATGTGTGCATACGTACACAGACACACACACACACAGACTTGAAAGTTCTGGCAAAGGAAATTATACCAGAAGGGAGCTTGTGCTAGTAGATATGGAGGAACAGATGGTAAATATCTGAGTAAAGTATGGTTGAAAGCAAAAACCGTATCTTATATGTATCTAAAACAATGACCACCACACGGGACAAGTAAGAGAGAGAGGGACCATATAATAAGGTTTCTATATTTATCTGAAATGGAAAAATACTTTTATTTATTTATTCTTCTCTCATACAATACACCCCAATGGCAGCCTCCTCTCCCTCCACTCCTCCCAGTCCACCCCCACCTGCCCTCTCCCCCAGGTCCACTGCTCCTCCATCTCTCTTTTAAAAAAGGCAGGCCTCCCAGGGTTATCATCTAAACATGGCATAATAAGATGCAGTAAGACTAGTCATAAATCCTCACACCAAAGTTGGATGAAGCAAGCCAATAGGAGGAAAAGGATCCCAAGAGCAGGAAAAAGAGTCAGAGACACCCCCTCTCTCACTGTTAGGAGTCCCACAAACACCCCAAGCTAAACAACCACAGCATGTATGCAGAGGGCCTAGCACAGACCTGTGCAGGCTCCGTGATTGCTACTTCAGTTGCCCTGAGCCCCTAAGAGCCCTGCTTAGCTGATTCTGTAATATTTTTATATGTGTTTTCATTGTCCACACTGTCGTTGTGTGTATATTTGTGTGTGAGCTTGGAGGTTTGCCATTTTAGAGCAGTTTATTTTTCTAAAAGTCAGCCTAGTTCCTGGTTTGGAGCTTGCGCTCCCTGCGGAGAAGGTTTGTCTTCCACCAGCCGCAGGTGGATTTGCAGTTCCTTCTTGGCGCATGGTTATAACAGCTGCTTTAGTGCCTCCGTCCTGGGAGCCACGCTGTTTTGGGCTTGTCGGCGCTTGGTTTTCTTCTTGTCTTTTCTTTTTACAGATGTTGATATTTTCTACGGTCTTCAAAGATGAAGTGATTTTTGGATCCTTCAGGAGCCTTGTGGCATGGGGTCTGAGTCTCGTTTAAATCCTATCTTGAATACTAATCTGTCTTTTTTTTTTTTTTTAAATCAGAGAGCGAGCTTTGTGCTTCCTTTGGGCCGTGGTTTCAATGTTGGTTCAGTTTTGAAGGTTTTGCAGTGGTATGCTGGCCTTGAACCCGTGGCCAGCCTGGATGCTCTAGCTTTTTGATGTTTTGTTTATGGTCAACATTGGGGTGAGCTCAGGTCATATGGACTATTTTTTTTTACTCTTCTCTCATACAGTACATCCCGATCGCAGCATACCCTCCCTCCACTCCTCCCAGAATCCCCCATATGGATTATCTTATGGGATGATTTTTTAAAGCTCTCTCTCTGCTCTGATCTAACATCTTCTAGAACCCAGAAGACCCAGACTTCCATTTTCATCTTGGTCTTCTGGGTAAACCCATTTTTTTTTTCTCTGTTATCTCAAGAACCAGAACCACAGTGAAAGTGCCCAGGGGTGGAACCGGAAAGGTGTACACGGACTTGGGGGATAGTTAATACTGTTGATGTAAAACAAAACAAAACAAACAAACAACAACAACAAAAAAAACACAGTTCTCATCTCATCTCAAAGGGAATAAGAGATAGTTTGTTCTGGAACCAAATTTGAGCCCACAGCCCAGAAAACACAGAGCTTGGTACTCCAGGTTCCATGGTTCACAAAGTCTTATAGCTGCAGAACAAAAAGAGTTTTAAATCAAAGTAATTTTAAAATACTTGAGTGGAAGCATCAAAGAGGTGACTCTCTCCTCGGGCCTCCAATGCTGTCTGCTGATGGCCTTGGCGTTTGCGTTCGAGCTGGAAGAAGCTAATGGTTTGCTAAGTTAATAAATCCCAAGAGGTTTTTAATCTATTAATAACAGGATGTTAGGTCCACCATAGAAGCAGGCAAGGAAATACCTGCTTAGAGGGTTAAAGCTAAGAGACAGGATAAGATAATTAGGCTGTGGACCTACAACATCCCAACCTTCCCATTTCCCTGCTGTCCCAGTCAGTCAGGGTTTGCAATCAGAGTTTCTTTCCAGGAATTCTTCATGGCATTGATTACCACCTCCACAGAATCTACTCGGGAGACAAGTCACCTCTGGGTATGTCTGTGAGGGAGTTTCTGCCTTGGTTGAGGTGGGAAGATCTGCCCTAAATGAGATGACCCTGCCACGGATGGGGTCTGAGCGCCAGCCAGCGTTCTTCACTCTGCTTCCTGCCTGCCGAGGCGGTGTGGCCAGTTACCTTATGCCCTGGCAGCCATGTTTCCTGTCATGCGAGACTGTCTTCTCAAACTGTGAGCTAAAACACACCCTTTCTTTCTTGAGTTGCTTTCGTCAGGCATTTTATTGCAGCTTTGCACATGCTCTCTGGTTCCCAGGGCTCTTCCCCTTCGCTAGGCAAGGCATCCAAGGCTGCTTTTGGAGATATCTTTGCATCCTGTGTCCAGCTCTGGGTTTCAGATGGCCTCTGTGTCCTGACTGGGAGGTAGCAGAGGAAAGGAAAGGTGAAAGTCAGGTGGGTATGGTGGTTTGCAGCTACAGTTCCAGACCTTGGGAGGCTGAGGCAGGAGGATCACTCATGAGATCAAGGCCTACCTCGGCTATGGAGTGAGTTGCCCTGGCTACAGAGTGAAGCCATGCCTCAGAAAAAACAAAACCTACCACATTAATGACAGAGGGAGAGAGAGAGAGAGAGAGAGAAGAAGAAGAAGAAGAAGAAGAAGAAGAAGAGGAGGAGGAGGAGGAGGAGGAGGAGGAGGAGAGGAGAGGAGAGGAGAGGAGAGGAGAGGAGAGGAGAGGGAAGGTTCCCACCATCTTGACAATACTTTGAATTCTGCATTTCTTCCCTGTCCCCGACTCATTTATTTCTGTTGGGTACTGACCAAAGGTCTCAGCTCCACCCAGTGGGCAAGGGAAAGCAGACTAACCTTGGCTTGAGCGGTGTGAATTCTCTACAAGCACTCACCACTACCTGGAGTTTCTATTGCTTATTTATTACTTGCTGTGTGTCCCTGGCCCTTGAGCCTTGCCCTTCTTCTTCAGGCTTCAGGGGAGCAGGAGAGCCGGAGAATGGGAGTATCCTCTTAGTGGACAGCTGTGCCAGCTTGAATGCTGCCTGGCAACAGGGAGGACCCCAGTGGATGCTTTAAATGATGAGCTCTCTCAATTTTTCCCTCCTCCTCTTTCCCCTCCTCCTCCACTTTCTCTTCCTCCTCCTTTCCTTCTCCTCCTTCCCCTCTTGCTATTTTGTCAGCCTCCAAGTTGGCCTCTGAAAAAGGACAAAGTTCCACATTAAACTTGGCTGGCAGCATTCGACACAGATGAGCAGGGTAAGGTCCAAGCTGCCCTGTAGAGCGTAAGAGACTAAACCGAAGTACCAAAGTCCTGAGGGTGAGCTGCATCCATTAGTAATTTCCGTTTTATATTGCTGCCTGCAGCTGTGCACAGCCTCATT